TGTCAAGCCCACGTGTCTGCTGATGTTTCAAAAGCTCAATCACATTCCATATACAATATTACAAATATAAGTGGCATGCAGAAACACAAGCAGCCTATTTAATCAAAACTGTGCAACCTAAGGCCTTCATCCAGTAAGCTCACAGGCATGTGATTTTACAGGTACCTAAAAAGCCATGTTGCAGAAGTTTAAAATATAAAATATGCTCTTGCTTACCATGTTCAAAATACTTCAAAATGTAGCTGCAACATGCACAGAAAAAGAGCTATAACAGTGATTAGAAAATGGAGAATTATTAGATGCCAAGTGTTTCACATTCATTTGATGTGAAAGTTGAGATTCAGTATGACCATTCATTAGAAATTCATTTAACTTGCTATGAGAGAAGTAGAAGTAATTACAGGAATTAAAATTCAATAAAGAATTAATATGATGTTCTAAGAAATGGAGCATAAGAGATTTTGTATAACTATTCCTTCTTCCCACACTACCCATAAACTTAAGCATATGCTTAAGGGATTTACTTCACTGAGGCCAGGATGTTCTGCGTATTGCAAACATGAAATCTTACTCCCACAGCATACATGCTTTCAGCAAATACTTTAATTCCCTGAGAACTGAAGCTATTCGTTTCATCTTTGCAACTTGATGTGTACAATACAGGGGGGAAAAAAAAAAAAAAGAGACAATATATAGCAATATATACTCTGTAAATCTTTGTAAAAGGCAATTAGAAATCTAGGTCTTGTGGCCCTAAATACCTGAAAAGCAAGGATATTTGTCACTACACTTGTTTAAGCCTTTTGTAAAGGGTATTTTCTCCGGTGATGATACAAAAACTACACAAAGTGAGAACCCAACAAATGAACGTGGCTTACTGCACGAAAATGCTGAACATTAATTCCTTTATTTCAGTGGGAGGTCTGAACACAGGATTGGTTGTTTAAATAAATATAAGTAGAAATACTATAGAAATTAAAGTGAAAGTGGTGAGACCTTCACCACTTATGTACATGTTACTAAGTGCCTGATGTTCTAATAAAGGGTTAATCTGAAATAAGAAAGAAACAGAGTTGGTCAGAAAGGCAGCTTACGAAAGCAAAACAATATACCTGTCAGCAGGCACGGGCACACAAACACACATGCTGAGCAAGTGTGAAGGTGCAAACTCTAGAACAAACTGAAGAAAAAGGATTTAACTGGAGTGAAGGCTGGCAATTTATATCACCCAATGTTTGCAAACAAGCCTTTACAGTCCCTACTACCACAAAGTACTTTAAATCATTCATTACTCACAAGACATGGTTTAAATTACAGCTATTTTCCTCTGTTCTGGACCTTGGCTGTGATTTATTTTTATTGAGTTGTTTTTCATTGCCAGCAAAGAACAAATACATATACTGCAATGTCAGAAATTCTGGGTTGCTTCTCGAACCCAAACTCTGCAAAACGTGCTATTCCCTGCTCCTATTATTTAATTGCATTGGTCTGGTACAACAGTGATGAAGTCATCCTCAGGCCACCCGTAATTTGGTTCCCCATGCTGTTGCATATCATGTAATTCTGTCACACCATTACTTCTGCTTGTGTGCCTTGCCACATCTTTCCCACGCTGTTCTTTGCTTCTTGGTATACCACATTTGTCCAGAGGGGCCAGTTAGTTGGGACCTCTTAAAATCATGAAATGACATGGGTAGGAAGGGAACTAAAAGACATCCAGTTCCCTGCAGTGGGTATTGCCACCAGATCAGGCTGCCTAGGGCCCCATCCAGCATGGCCTTTTTTGCCTCCAGGGATGGAGCATCCAAAACTTCTATGGGCCAGTGTCAGTACCTCACCAGCCTCTGAATATTTCCTCCTAACATCTAACCTAAATCTCCCCTCTTTTAGTTTATAGCCACAGTTAAAATCTGTATATTTCCAATTGCACGATAAGAATGTGGTGCAGAGCCAAGATCCTGTAGAAGTCCAGATAGATGACATCAGTTGCCCTTCTACTGTCCACCAGCGCTGTCACTCTATCATAGAAGTCCAGCAGATTTGTCAGGAACAATCTGCCCTTGGTAAAGCAATGGATTATATGGAAATTACCCCAAGTTCCTTTCTGTTCATAGAGCTGCAGGGTTTCGCTTTATGAGAGAACGATGCTGGATGAAGGTTTCTGCTGTCTTATTACAAATTTTGGCTGCTTATTCCAGTACCATAAGGTTTCTACCCACGCTAGTTATTTTAACTGACTGTACTGGGGCTATCTTGCCCCTACCTCTCCACTGACCTTGGCCCCAGCAAATAAGGGCACTTATGTAATATAGTACAAAATATAATACGGTATCTGAGCAACAGAGATGGGAAGTTGAGGCCAACAAGCTCATGAGTGTGTAGTACTGGGCCACACCTGACTGTAGTTTGACTATCTTCAAGTCAACAGAAAATAACATCTCTACTCAATGGTCCAAGTCAGTATAGTTTTAATGGTAGGGAATGCATCTGTGAAGTGTCTTCAGTCTTCAATAATTCAGCCATTCAGCAATTCAGCCTTTGAACAGACCTTCATGACAGCAGAAAGCTTAAGTAACAATTCTTTTCACAAAATGTGGTATTGCAAGGTTTTAACATTTTTTTCAATTCGCACTGTTTTGGCAACATTTTACAGGCATGCAGTATTTGTTGGCAATTATTCCACACACCAAGTGTAGGATTGAGTATATACCTACAATTCATTTCATATACAGCAAACTGCATTCCCAGCTCAGAGCTAAAGTATTGAAAATATTGTGTCCCCATGCTGCTCCCAATTAGCCATTTCATTTAATTTTAAGACAATTGCTCAAGATCTGCATGGGGGCATGATTAGCAGAACATGCCAGTTGCCACAACTCAGCTGAGGGCAGGATGCACAGAAAAAGGTGGTATTTGCAATGCTGAGGTGGATGACAGGTTCTGCCAGTCTTGTGAGAGTTTGCTGGACATCACTGCATGAGTTTGAAGACAAAATAAATACAAAATAAATGGACTCTCTGACTTGACTTTCCCTTTATAAATTCAGGGTTTTCTGAGAGAACTGATTCTGAAAAAACACTATAAATTGTACACAAGGAGGGAGGCACCTGTAGAAGAGTAAGTGCACCAAGTGTGTGTATTAATGTGAATCAGGGTAAACTGTAAGAGTCCCACAGATCCTACTTAGAGGGTGCTGGCAAATACTATCCTAACACACTCCTTTATGAGGTTTGTTTCATGCTCCTTCCTTATTGCTAGTCAGAAGGAGGTTTCACTGTGACTTAGGAGTTGTTAGCACACTTTCTTCTAATAAATCTTTAATTTGCCTTATATGAAGTGCCAATATTTGGGTAATAAGAATAATTTTTTATATACAGATTTCCTTGCAGCTGATATGAAATAAGATAAGCACAGAGCAATATTCTAATATTTGCACGGATGACAAAGGAAGTCACGGTGTTTTCATCCTGTGCCAGTATTCTCACTGACATCAAAAGACAGGGTTGTGTAAGCATGACAAAGAAATAGGAGTTAGCTCTCCATCAAAACACCAAAATTATGTGGACTACAGAAATAAGAAGCCTTATGAGAAAAATTACAAGTGTTTTGCTTTCAGACAATGTTGATGACTGTATCAAGACCCTCAGGTTGACTACAGGCAGCCACATAGAACTTGCAGCAGGGACAGCTGAAATCTGCTCTGCTGCCTGAGAGATGCTGTCAGGGCTCTCATCCAAGTGAGGTTTGGGGAGGTGAAATAACCTGCAGTGTACAAAAGACTCACACAAATTTACAGACATCAGCTGAATTACCTCCTGCTCTCTATATTAAACACCATATTCTATTTCTGTGTGCACGTTTGTTTCCATGCTAGCCTAAGAGCCAGCCTGCTAACTGCACAGGGGATTGAGAGGGCTGCAAAAGCACTCAGGGTACAAGATAAGCAGTGGCCTCTCTCAGCTGTCTGAATCCGTACTGCAAAGAAGCACAGACTGGGCAGTACAGGGAACCCAGCCTGGGAATAAAACAGGTAGAATCAGATGCAGCACTTCAAGAAGCTTGGACTATAGAGAGGTTGTATATTTTGACTAATTCTGTAATTGTGACTATGGACTCTACTACAGACCTAACAGGCTTCACGTAATTACTTTGTGCCAAAAGCTGCAGCCAATATTCTAACAGTAGAAGAAAAAATTCTATTTATAAAAAGCTACTGACAGGATCCTGCCTTGTCAGTTGTAGGATTCAAAGACTTCATCTCTTTGATGCTCTTTTGACCCTGATTCTTCAAAGGAGAATGCTTAGCAGCTAGTAAGGATGGGTCTGAAATCTTTGAACCAAAGCAATATTTTTATACAGATCTGCTTTTCAGGATATTCCCACACCCCTAGAATTTCTAAGTTATTAATACATTAGAAGCTGGGGTAATCATCGGGACACGTGGATTGGAATAAAAGTAGGATGCAGACACAAATTCAATGCTATTTTTACACTTGTAACAATAATCTGCTGAGATGTACACAGAAGTTCTTTCACTCTATTTGGCAATAGTCCCAGTTACACCCTAGACAGCACCTGAGATCTTCAAAAGGGCATTTTCTGTGATTATGGCACACTTTATAGGAAAACAGGACTAGATAGAATTATCATCATCCTAGCTTTGTTGCTATCAATTGCAATTGCCTTTGTAAAATTCACATTTTGGTCAGTGTGACAGTATGGTTTCTGCTGAAGTCTGCATACCAAAGCAACTGTTCAGAACAATTACAAATACAGAAAAATAAATACCAAAACCAGATCATCCTCTCTAAATTGATTCCAACTAAATACATTTAAAAATTAACCACACAGTGTCTCACAGGCCTGTATGATTCAGCAGCAAATAGTTGGAAACGCAGTTGGATTCTGAACCAAATTTTGCTCTAGTATGTACTGCATTATAATTGATTCACAGTTTCAAATCAGAAACTGAGCATAATGAGAAAAGAAAAACCACTGACCTTTCTTTGCTAGGTTACTGTTGGGTTCATATTTCTCAATCAGTTGTTGAACTTGTTCCTGCTTTAATGGTGGATAAAGGATTTCATTTAATCGTGGATCACGTTGCTTAAGATTTATAAATTCCATCATCTGATCAACAGTAAGGTATGGCTTACTCTTGGCACCACTAGAGAAAATTAAAGCAAAAGCAAAGCAATTAAAATATGATTCCTTGAAATCTTGTTCAATGTTTTATAATTTCCCAGGGAAACTGAAACAAAATTCAAACAATCATAGACAAACAATAGAAAAAAATCGATGTTCCACTGGGTCTCCAGACTAGTTTACCTTGCCAGCATTTAATGACAAACATTCTTCATTAAACATCTAGGAGCAAGATTTTTAAAAGCATTCAGCATTATTGACATCAATGGCAAGAATTAGAGCAATGCTAAAAGCTTTTCATTCCTCTGAATTCCTGGAACAAAGCAATCTGAGAAAGTAAAAGAGATGATCTGGAATTCAGTCCTGAGCTTGCTGCAAACACTCCACTGCAACTCCTGGCCTACCTATTTGGTTTTACTGCTAAAAAACAGCAGCCCTGACTTAATTATGTTAATTATTCCGGTATTTGCTTGTTTTATAAACCTGCAAAAAAGAAAAAAATAAAAACAAAAAAACCCTAAGCACTCTGCAAAGTAAGTGAAAAGATGTCTATTTAGAGTTAGTAAAAAGAGTAGAGTTTTGGTACAATTTGTACCCAGATGGAAATCTATGAAGGCCCATTGCCAGGTGCTTAGGTTTTTCCACAGCACTTGGGATTGGCCTGGTTCTGCTCTGCAAGAAAGCAATGGGAAGTCAATGGAAGCAAATTAGGTCATAGCTGAGTTCTTCTAATACCTCAGCCTCAGAGAAAATAAGCACAGAGAGGTGTAAAAGAACACATGCTGCAAAGATACAGTAATTGTTCTGGTGGTCTTGTGATGTATTTCAGAAATTGTTTTCATATTGCTTCATGTTCTGATCCCATTGATCAGGCTCTGCTACAACTGTGAAGCACAATGACTTGCTCTAGGGGCCAGAAAGATCTTGGAATAATTCAACATGAGCTTTATAGCTTGTAACTGAATGCACGTACTCAGTTGTAGACGGCTGATAATTTAATTTCATGGCGGCAGTTCCAGTTGCACAAATCCTAAAAGATACTGCTTTTTCTCCTACTCCTAATTAAGCTTTTGGGAGTGGTTAAACATATTCTCATGCCTATTACATCTTTTTATTGCTTATTACTCTTCCTTTATTTTCACAGAAGCCTAAACTGTCTTCATCCAAACTACAAAATGAGACCTGGCAGTTAAACTCGCATAGCATCTAACGAGTCAATTCTGGCAATTAGAAATTGAGGCAAAAACTTGGGACAAGAGAAAACTTTGATTCTAGGTTAAACACTATTCTTGCTTGACATGGAAATCTGTTCTTGGTAGTCAATGCATGGTGCTATAGACTAAATAACCTACTTCACAACAACCCCTATCCCAGAAAATCAGCAAAGGGGAAAAAATAAATGAGTGTCTTTTCTTACAACTCGGAAAAGATGTGGTCGATTTCAGGTCGAGGGCAGAGGTTGTTTAAGAACACTCTGTACACGTCGGGCGTGAAGTCATCTTGAGGGATTGAATCATTCTGTGAAATGGAAAAAAAAAAGTGAAAGAATGAAATGACATTTTAATATGTTTTTTTGTAAACAGATCACTTGCTACTGCTCTTCTTTCAATATCATTCCTGCAACTTAGAGGAGTATAAGTTTTGCATAATAAGAAATTCCTGTGAAAAACAGAGCAGCTTAAGTATGTTTAAAAAAATTAAAAGTAAATTATCCATCTTCTTTCCATAACACAAAGTTCTTTCTTTCTTGGAGCACCTATGAAGAGAAAAGAAACAACTCCCGGTGTAACTGTGTTATCTATAGACAGCGAAATCCCAATGAAGCCAGTGAGCTGGATAGGGTACTTAGATGAGGAAAATGGCAGTACACTGTATTTGTTTTCCCAAAGCTTTCACAGAACCAGGAAATAAACTGGACCACTGAGTCATAATTGACAATCTTGATCTCTGGTAGCAGCAGAAATGTTTCCTTTCCTTCCTGAAGGTACACGTTCAAGATATAACTGAAATGTCCTCACGCACTGTAGCTTTTCCATACCTCTTTGCCCTAATCACTGAGGGCAGCTGATTAGGCAATCACATTGCTTTTACAGAATTGACAGAAATGCTTTAAATTAGACACCAGCACTCTCTCTCACCTTTTCTAAAGTTAAGGACAATTTACATTCAGTCTTGCTTCTAGATGATATTTTCATCATCCCACTATACCTGATAACTTTTCTCTGAAAAAATAGAACAACTGTTTCTAAAGAAAGGGATTTTTGAAAAGGAAGGAAAAACTGTCCTTTGCAAACTCAAAAGTTCTCCTCCTCCTTGCACGTGCTGACTTAAAGCTCAACACTTATTGCAGGAGACAGCATGGACTGCTTTTTTGGAGAGGCTGGAAAAAAAAAAGGAAGACCCCAAGGAAGGTGCAATCTGAGCAGCTCTGTTGGTGCAGAACAATAATGATGTGCCCACCGGCTTCTGCCTTTGCATCACTGCACTGAGAGGAAAATTGCACAGCAGTTTGTATTTCACGGAGAGAAAATCTCATAAGGAAATAAGAGAAACAGAACCACAAAAATTGTGGAATGCACATACAGAAAATCTGATTCTGAATTTCTTCCATGCAAGTGAACTTTATCAGAAGCTATGAAATGTCATCTCTGGAAGCACGTGAACCTCTCCATGGCTCCAAAATAATGCCTGAATCCAATGGACCGGAGGAAGAAAATTTTAATTTGAACACAAAGCTGTTTGCTTATAAACGATGTTGAGCCGACTTGTGTTGGGAGCAAGCTGCTGATGGAGGCTATCATCGCTTTTATTTATTCCGCCTTTTTATGCAGTTGCCAAGGGAACCGGAAGTGTCAATTCAAGCCTTTGGTAGAAGGAAGGAAATTCTGCAATACTTTTCCTGCTGTAAGTTAAAAGGAAAGAAAGAAAAAAAAAAAAAATAGCTGGGGGCGTCACTTTATCTCTCCTTTCATTTGCAAAATTTGTAGAGGCCCAGATGGGTCTGGTACCATGATCACCATTCAGTGATTCTGTTCACACATGCAGAATGGGCAGCTCCTTGCTCCCCCTCCTCAGCCATCCCCAGGCTCCACATTCAGCTCATGGCAAGAGAAGGGCAGCAGAACTCACACCGTTACTCCTTCCTTGGTTTGGCAGACTACACGAGTGGCTGCTATACCTGCTTAAATCTAGCAAAGCCTGTAGGATCTTCTCCCTGACTCAGGCTCAGAGTAAACACCTGCACAGCTGCTGCCCCGGAGTTCAGAGTAAGGTACATGTCAGCAGAGGCAGCACGGAGATGGGCAGTGCAAAGAATCCTGGACAAACCCCAGTTTTGAGTATGACTTGTTTGTGCAAGCACAACCTGTAAGCAGTAGTTCCACCAGCGCAGGATTCTAAATGAGGAGCAGGGAAAACAGGAGCTAGCAGCAATGTCCTTAGCACCTATACAGCACGTGCCACGGTCAGCTTTAACAGCTTACCCATATGCTGGCAACTGGTTCTTCACAAAAAGAAAACCAGTTATTCCTAGATTACATTGTAAAACCAAAGATTTTTCCTAGCATTATGTCATGAGAATGGTGGTTTTGTCCACTGCTAACTTTTTAGCTCGCAGAAGCACTCATTCAAGATCAGTGAAAACCACTCAGTTTCCCTTCACTCAGCTGGAACAGTTCAGGCAATAACTTCTTCCACTCACCTCACACATCCCTTGCTCAGAACTTACCTGCTGCAGGGTGAGATGCTTCAGAGTTAACTCATCCCAAATGAGCCTGTACACTTTGCCATGGGATCAGCTTGCTGAGCTGGATAACTCCCCACTGGCATAAATGCTAAATCCACTGCAGTGGTGGATGAAGAAGTATGAGGTTTGAAGCTGGAGGATGGCAAGAGTTGCTTTTGGAGATGACTGCTGGTGGCACAGCTCTACCTGTGAAATTCATCGGCTGCACTATGATCAGTTCAATCTATTGTACTTTTGGGTGAGAGGACCACTGACACTTGTTTTCCTAAAGCCTGGAATACATAGAGCTTGCACGTTTTCAAGATGGCATCTCAATATCCACAACAGCTACAATCACTGTTTAACAGGCTACTGGTCCCAAGCCCATGCTTCTCCTAAGGGCATTTTTGATGTTAATATTGTGAACACCAAAGAATTAGCCTCCCACTGACTTATCTTTTCCCTTTCAAAGGAGTTGAAGGTACTCAACACTGAAAAAAAATGTGGGTCTTTTCTTATAATCTGAGATCTAGGCTTTTATTTCTCATTTAGCTTTAGTTAAGAAAATATACCTCACAAGTCTTCAGCCATAAACATAGACTCTTCTAGATTATTTCCTACCAATATCATAATTAGTGGGCTATAAAGATACAGAGGGGAGAGAAAAGCCTTGTTGTAAGCATTCACCACCCCAGGCACAACTTTGGACAACTCTGCTTGGGTTCCAAAATTCTGCTGCCAAAAGCGATTCACATACATTGCCCCATTTGTCATTCTGGTCTGAGCCATTCACATCTCACTGGAACCACCCACACACCTTATGTGCTAATCTCTTTTTTGAGACCGAATCACAAAACTTTCTGTTACACATTAGAGCATCTCTCAATTCTGGCTTTGCAGAATACTGGTATGCAATTTTATTTTGTGATTAAAACTCTCTACTAATTTCAAGCACTGCTGATTTACGATTTGCCTGCTAACCCTTCTGTTTTTATAACATCTATATCCTTTCTGTTTTATATTTGGCAGCACAACAGCTAATTCAGATTATTTGCACAGATAGGATTCAACAGTTGCTTGTTTTATTTTGTGTAAACAGTCAAGTTTGCTGGTGCTTCACTGTGAACCTCTACATTAACTGCAGTGCAGAAACTAGCCTTCACAACCAAGAGGCAACTAAAATAAAATTCTTAAAAGGTTAAAATGCACCTTTGACTAAGAAAAAAAAAAATCAATCCAAAACAACAACAACAAAAAAACCACCAGCTCAACCCTCATCAAAAGGAAAAACAAAACCAAAAAAAGCTAGCCAAGATTTTTAAAACTATAGTGGAATCAGATGCCAACCTAAAAAATCTCACTGGCATTTTTTATTTTATTTTATTTTATTTTATTTTATTTTTTATTTAACAATCTGTTTTCAGATCTGCTTAATAACAAATACTTTGGAAAATCAGATCATGGAGGGCTTGGTCCAGCAAGACTCTACATATACCAACTCCAACCCAGAATTAAAAATATCCATAGTTTGAAGATGTTCTTTAAGTTATCCCATTGCCTCAAGTCCAACTTTTTCTGAATCAGGGACAGAGTTCTCAGTGCTGTGCAGAACCAGCCCCTGTCAGAAGGTCCCTATTATGAAATACAGAGTTCATTTCAGGCTCTTTGGGGGAGTCTGTCTGGTGCTTTTCAACTACAAGGTGATCTTCCAAGCTGTGAGAATTCTTCTTCCTCTCCCACAAAATATATTGCCTAGACACAGTCCCACAGGGTCTCCTGGCAAGCCTGTACTCAGGGAATTTGCTAGAGAGGGGCCAGCATGTGCTGAAGTTTGTGACACTTCACCAGCAGCACAGCATAGACTGTTTTATATTAAAGTCATCACATGAGATACATGCGGGACTGTCCCAGCCCTAAAACTATGAATCAGGAAGATGCAAGACTATTGGGTGATGATTTGGCAACTTCTTATTAATGATTACGAATTTGAATTTTATTTTGTGTATTAGCATTATCCACATGTTCTAAGAGGTGCAGCAAGATATAACTCGGGGTTAACAACCCCTACATCTTTCTAAGGAATGAGAGGTATGTTACTGTAGGAAAACCGAAGAAAAAGTCTTTAGAGGGTTCTTCACCAAGTACGGATACAAAACAAAACAAAACAACACACACACACACAAAAAAAAACAAACACAAAAACAGACAAAACAAAAATCATAAGAGTTTAATCTTCTTCAGACATTTTCTTGAATACTCTGAAAAATCTGGTGCATTTTCATAGGGAAGGAATCACTTATATTCACTTCTTGTTTGCTGCCTGGAGTCCCATGTTTTCAAGGCTTTACAGGAACAACAACTGTCCCATAGTTAGCAGGGCAGAACAGCTGTAAGATGAAGCTAATAAAATGTATTTGATCAAATAAACAGGAAAAGGAAAAGAAGGAACAAGAAAAGAGCTGTAGATGAAGAACTGCTTTTCTTCTACTTCCTTACCTCTATGAGATTCAGAGATTCCTTCTTTTCGATAGCTTAGCTACTAAGACATTTTTTTTCCAAGGTGATCAACACAGCTTTCTTTGTTGCATGAAGCATGTAGTATCTCTTTTGTCCCAAACAAAGAAAGGATCTACCTTACACTATGAATACATTTTCATGATGGTATCCCAGCAACAAGTATCCAGCAATGTCTATGTAAAATTGACTCTGCTTAAATAAACAGCAGAAAAAGACTGCAGTTTTTTCAAAGACTCCAGAGATGTTTAGATTTTTTTTGCAGTGAGAAACAAGAAATTATTTTTCATCTTTCCTGGCATGAAGTACATAGAAGCAATAAAACAACCGATTTTGAAAGCAGCGCTTCACTCATTTCTTGCATAACTTACTAAAAAATTGTTTGCTAACAATTAAATGAAAATCTTCCTTGAAAATACATCTTTTCATGTTTCTAACCTCAGAACATTTTCAACTGGACAAACACCTATCAGTGGCAAGTGGTATCTGAGGTTTGGCCTGTGAAGATTTTGCACAACTGTACTTCTGGAGCAGCAGGAATTATCTCTATTATGACACCACTGGGGAAACAAAGGTTGAATAAACATCAAGGCACAGCGCTTTCTACAAGAGGAAGAAATAGGAGATGCAGGTACTCCCTCTGCTACACACTGGTTCTGTCCCATGTCTTACACTTAGTAAAGTAGGAATTATCCTGCAATAAGATCATTGAAGGAGACTCTTCACCTGGGAGGAAAGACTAAGGATGTCATTAACTAGAATTAACTAGAATCTAGCATTAACTAGAATCACTCACTTGATTTCACTCTGCTTGAAGAAGCCTTCTTAAGGGTGAAGTACCAACCTGCAAATGCTCCTGGCTGAGCAGCATACGAGACATCCCCGCAGCATTAACAGCTTTGACAGTACATCAGTTCAACATTTATTCCACACACTTTTTATGTAAGTTTAAATAGATGAGTTTAAATTGTCTCTTTTGTGAGAAGGAAACAGATTACACCATTATCTTCATGGCAAGCCAAACAGTGCTCTCAAATTGCACCTGGAAAACTGTGTACTGGTTACTGATGCTTAAAACATTCTCTTAGGATTACTCCAGAGCAGATTACACAACCTTCTGGCTTATCTTACAATGCATTTGCACTTCTTCCAGGCACTCTTTGTCCATATTTCAAATCAGAGATACTCCAACATTCAAATGGATAACAGTAAACTCTGTGGGAAGAACAGTTCCGCTGCTGAGGACCCATACAGGAGCTAATCCAGTGAAGCACGATCAGCCTTGGCCAAATCATACTCAACAGAGAGTAAACAGCACTGAATACAAATGCAACACCTTGTCAGGTTAGGAATAAATTCAGATGCTTACCCTGGAAGATGGAAGATTACAGGCTTCTAATGCCGTCTCTACACGTTTTCTGTCAGCAGAAAACAAGCGGTATATGCTGCAAAATGAAAACAAACCAGAGGGAATCAATTGGCTTTAAGATATGCCTTGATGGCCCACGTGGCTTAAAGGCTGGATATTGCTTCCCAGTTTATCATGTCTTTAGCCATTTACTTCCATTAGCAGGCTGCTGAGTAACACAAGTGAGATTAATGGTGCTCACAATGAGTTTAATTCTACCCCACCCAAGCCCCTGTTACAGAGGATAGTTACTTGAGTAAGTCACCACAGCTCTCTTCAAAACTCTGCCTCATTGACACACAATTTGAATATATTTAATCCTCACAATGTGTCTATGAGCTAAAGAAATGATGTTAGGCTTTTTAAAAAATTAGTCACAAGTGGAACAAGAGCAGAGAAGCTTAACATCTTGCTGACAATCACAAGGGCAATCTATGTCCAAAATGTAGTTGAACAGAATCATCCTGAGAATCACTGGCCACTCTTTCTTTGGGGTATGTCAAAACATATGCTGTAGACAGATAGTTCTAAACAGAAGGATCACATGTTCATACCTGATGTTTGTTCATACTCAAAGATTAAATAAGACTACATGGTAAGAAAGGACAGCAACACTTACTTCTTCAGAGGAATGCGTCCTTCTGGAGTCACCTGTAGTTTAAGTTTTGTGTATCTGCAGGGATAAAAGCATGTTTTATTATTACCATTTTATTCTTACTTTTTAAAGTACCTCTGCACCAACGTTACAGCTCAACACTTTTGCTGTGATTATGTGTTAAGTTCCCATCAAGTCTTTTGCCAACATGAAAATCTTCTGAGATACCAATGATAAGTGAATATCTTTTCCATGAACAATAATGCACCTATTACTGTGCCAAGTAATGTCAGTCTTGAAACCATGAATGCACATAGTTGTCATCCCCCCAAACTCTTTCTCACCCAAGCTGCTAGCCACTCACTATCCTTTTGCTGAATGAGGTTTCTTCCTTTCAGCTAGGCCCAGTGCAGGCATAAATACTGTTTCAGCTTCAGCATCTTCAAATCCACAACCTGACAGCTTACACTACTAAGAAATTCTCACTGGGCCGAATGGCAGTTTCAATTTTGCATTTTGTCTTGCTACTGTTCCAAAATACTAATTCTACCTTTGATTACCTTCAATAAAAACATTCTTCCCTGGTGGCTGAATACAGGCATGCAGTATGCACCATATAAACCATACAAAGATGCTCAGTTTGAAGTAATGCATGAGCACATATCAAGGACATACTATCTCCCTTTAGCTGAGTAATATCACAGAATGACATGGCTCAAAAGAGCCATTAAAGATCATCAAGCTCCAACTCCCCTACCATGGGCAGGGTTGACAGCAATCAGATCAGGCTGCCCAGGGCCCCATCTAGCCTGGTCTTGAATGCCTCCAGAGTTGGGACATTCACAGTCTCTCTGGGCAATCTTTTCCAGCGCCTCAGCAGCCTCTGAGTAAAAAATTTCCTCCTTGCTTCTAATCTAAATCTCTGCCCTTTTATTTAAAAACCTTGTCCTGTTCACTATCATACAAAAAGCAAGTCCCTCTTCTGATTGTAAGCTCCTTTTAAGTAGTGGAAAGCTGCAGTGAGGTCTCCCAGGAACCGTCCCGTCTCCAGGCAAAACAAGCCCAACTCCCTCAGATTTTCTTCATAAGAGAGGTACCCCAGCCCTCTGAGCATCTTCCTGGCTTTTTCTGGACCCGCTCCAACAGCTCTGCATTTTCTTTTGCTGAGGGCCCCATGCCAAGACAGCACTCCAGATGGGACCTCACAAGAGCAGAGTAAAGGGATACAATCTCTTCCCTCACCCTGCTGCCACCCTCTGTTGATACAGCCCAGGATACTGTTGGCCTTCCGAACTACAAACACACACGTCTGGTTCATGTCCGGGTTTTCCTCCATCAGAACCCTCCAAGTCCTTCTCCAAAGGGTGCCCTCAATGAGTTCTTCTCCCATTCAGTACACATATTTTGTGTATTTTGATTGCTCCAAACAAGGTGCAGCACATTGCACCTGGCTTTGTTGAATCTCATTCTGTTCATGTGTGCCCATTTTTCAAGCCTGTCCAGGTCCCTCTGAACAGCATCCCTTCCACTGTAGCAACTGCACCTTTCAGCCCGGTGTAATCAGCAAACTTATGGAGGGTACACTCAATTGCACTGTCATCTCATTAATCAAGACGTTGAAGAGCAGCAGCCCAAAGACCAGCCCCTGGTCGTGCCAGTGGCCTCCACCAGGACATAGAGCTTAATAGAGGTAAATGTCTATCCACCTGTTTGCCTGTCTCATGATCTCTCTGCCATGGCATGCAGGCTGCAAAACTTGACTGGAATGGTGGCTGTATTACTTCCCTCCCAGAGGCTGAAATCGCCCCTGAATGTTGCACACAACTACACTTACCTCCTTAGACCCTCCTATTACACAGCTCAGAAGGTTTCTTTCTTTGACCCTTAACATTGCCACTCCTCAGTTGGGAAGAAGCCAAATTGCTGGTAAATGAAATGTCAGCAAAAGTGTAGTGTATACTGAGCAGTCCTGGACAAGCCCGTAAGATTTCCAGTCTGCGGCAATATAAAAATTACATGCTGAAACCATCTACAGGCTGGCAATTATACAGCTTTTGAATTGAGTATTTAAAAGCATCTCTGTCATTTCTCTCATGCTGATTGAGGCAGCAGGATAAGGAGGTATCTTCCTTTGTTCACATCTTTTAAGTAACTGATTCAGTGCCTACTGAAATAGTCGTCAGCTGTTGAAACAGTAGTCAGCCATGAGTAGCTAATGGGAAGCAGTTGGGCCTACAGCAATCATCTGATGTTCCTCCTAGCACACAAGGACCACTAACCAGCACAATGCTCACCAGCAGCAGCCTGCAAAGTATGCTTCTTTTTTGAGTGCTTCATCTCTTCCATTTGAATCTAACTAAAACTATAAATAAGTTTCTCTGTAACGTGATCTGTTGAGAAATGTGGCAATGTTGAAGTATTTCACTTTTTTTCCTTTTTTTTTAAATATATACTTTACTCACTGGGCTACCAAAAGAAAAAGAAATTGCATGGTTCAAATAACTTTCCCTGTTCTTCCCAACTGAAAATGCCATTAGTAACCACATCAAAGACATAATACGAGCTAATATCCCTAAGTAATTTGGAACATTTTCACAAATCGTTATGTTCTCCCATGCATCTCCTGAAAACTAAAATATCCTGTGCTACTGTGTCACCAAAGAAAAACACTACCCACCCCAGCCTTCCAGCACTGAGCTAGATTTAAAAAAGTCATAGTGGTTTGTTACAGGAGTTTTGTTGTCTTCTATTTTTTGAAACTTCTGAACACATTCACATCACAGTTAATGTGACTCCAAAGGCGACAAACTTTAGACATAACACTGACCCAAAGTTTCCACAACAAAGCCATCTCATGCTTACTACAGCACTGGGCAGTACTACAGTACTAGTGTACTGAAACAGTAATTTTTGTATCCCAACACAAAAATATACTGCAACATTACAAGAGAGGAATGTGTATTTTATAATCAAAACATCATGATTTATTAGCTATATCCTCCCAAATTAACCCTGTTTTTCTCATCTGACCAAAGCAGAGAAGCTGCTCAATCTGTTTAGTAATGCACTTCAAACACTAAAAGGGACTGAATGCCACAAAGAAAACATTCCTTTCTAAATCTGCTCTAATGCAATTTGCTTTTCTATTTCATCAAAAGGGTACTGACAGGACTGCAACCAATCCTTTGCTCAAAACAGTAATTATAATGGGAAAATAGTTTTAATCTTCAAAGTCAAAGATTCCTTAAGTGACTCTGATTTGGCATCTGTGCAAAGAACCCTGGAAACCCAACAGTTCCCAAGTGATTTATTAATTAGTGGAAAAAAGACACAGAAATAACATGCTTGCTTGCTACTGAATTGACAAAATGTGTTCAGTGACTTTATCTTTAATTAATATTAAGCTTGAATAATCATAGAAAAATGGCTCCAAATAAGACTGGCTCTACTGTACTGTGTGACAACATACTCCTTTGAATGTCACAGGAAAGCACATACTAAGTACTGCCCCAGTCCTCCCCATCACACACCTGTCAGCCAAGTCTGTTGGCCATCTGGGCCTTTGAGTGATAAGGACATGGAAATCCAACATCAAATCAGCCCTTTAACTCATCTACAATCTATGGAGTTGAAAGAAGCAATGTCTGTTCTTTCTCTCACACAGAGCTGTGCTGATAAAGTGAAATCTAATTTAGCCTCAGCAGCTCAGGAGCAAATACACGAGTCCAATACAAGCCCTGTGATGCTGACTGTTAATATGCACTGTCCTGATGGAGAGAGGTGGAGATGGAGAGGGTGCCCGGCCCTTCCAAGGCCTGCAGACATCCAGAAAGACCTGAAGGAAAAAAACATTTTCCCTATTTTACTCAAATTCATTTCTCCACTGGTCCATGAAGGAACTTAGAAGACCTTCCTCGATCTACTTAGGTTAGCATACTGTGTCAGCATGCAGAACCAGAAGGAAATGTTAAATGTTTCCATTAATTTGGGATTTTGTTTGCCTAGTATTTCATTGCTATCCCGACAGAGCAGTATCAGATACAAAACTAGAATTCCCTTAACATCCAACTTTCAAAGTTTGTTTCTTTGAGAACTATTGCTGACTTCCATCTGCACTGCCCAAACTGTGAGAAGGAAACACATGCACTCCTCACAAACCAGTAACTTAAAAGTATGTTCCTGGAAGATAAGCAGTCAGGAACCTTCTGACTAAAAACAGTGCATATAGCAAAATGAGGTACGTGCAATGTTATGTGGTCCACAAAACAGGTGGGTTAACTTACTTCTTGGACAGAGACAAGTCTTAGTAAACTAAGTCTCTACTTGGTATTTTGCAGAAATGAGGTTCTGTCTACGAGAAAGAATTGGAAAACAATGAGCTGCATTTAACCAGTCAACCTGTAGATCTTTAAGAGCAACAAAAAAGGCCAGCAAATATCCTAATTAATTGCCATCGTTATCTGGTAGGCTTTTTTATCATCAATCTGATGACTTAAGTAAAGTTATCTCAGCATTTATCTTCCATTTGAGTCTTGCTACTCTCAGATTTAGTTCTCTTTCCTTTCTGAGATGTGTTTTTACACTCCAAATGTGCTTTTGTACTTTGTTGAAAACAAGTCTGAATCTGTGCACGGTGCCAACAAACCTCAATGAGCAGATTTACAGCTTCTTTCTAAAGCATGCTAAAATCAGAGAGATTAGAAAGATAAATAATCCAGAAGCAGAATATTATTCAATATTAAATGGAGACCTTCAGACTACAGCTGAAGTTGCTACTTTTGCATACAACTGGAAGATGGCATTCAATACTTTTTTTTGGCTTTTTTTTTTTTTTTTTTTTTTTTTTTTTAGTGAGAAGAACCATACCAAGACTTTTTTTAAATGACGTTTAGATAACAAGCATTAAAAACAATGAGAACGGACAGCCTATGTTTACAAAACTGACAACTCATCAAAGCAGAAACAATAGATGACAATGTGACTAACAAGAGAAAAGGAAAATGACGCAGATAAAAGAGCAACACCCACAGTATTAAATACTATGGCCACTTACGCTTTTTCCAGAAATGCGTCCCTTGACATGTTCTGTGCCAACAAATTTGTTGCCAAACTGAACACTTCATCTGACCATTCCTACAGAAATAAAAGTTGATTAAATGAGGCTTAGTTTAGATCTTTACTTCGCTTTTGCATATTTTTAAAAGTGATAACTAGCAAGAATTGCCTAATGAAAGTTTGAACTTGATTTTTCCAGCCACAGTTTCCTTCCTTGTCTGTGGGATTAGAATTTCTGCAAACAATGAAGACTATTACAAATATATATAAATATTTAAAGATATCACATTCCACAGTATCAGAAAAAAGACATATGGACAAATGTCCTATGTAAAGCACGTTTAAGGGCTTGGGAGATGTAACACACACACCCCAGAAAAATACGTTTTCTTGCGTGTTTGGGAATACTCTGGTTGACATACTGAGGATTAAAAAAAGAGACTCTAAAGAACCATCCTTTAAAGTGAGGCTGAAAGGCTTTACACCTGTCTGAAGCTAGGCAAATTTGACAGCGCAGGGTACAGACCATAACATAACATGTCTCCTGCTGCAATGCCTCACCTTGTAAGTCTGTAATAAGGGCCTCTGCAACTTGAAACAATTCAGACAACAAATATCACACCTCATCTCTTATGGCAGATACTGAATTAAGAACAGTAATTACAGGCTCCATCCGAGATCTGATCCGCCAACATGAGAAACACGTTTAAAAACAAAACCGAAGATGCATATAGGAAAAAAAATCAATTCTGATATATTGCAAGAAAGGGTGCAACTCCAATTCAAAAAATTGCCTGCAAGCACAACGGTTCTTCCAGATCTCCCTCACTTTTCCTTTCATCTTTTTCCTCATTGCTAAGTGTGTTCCTGAAGTCCTTCTCTACAGTCCCAGTCCCTTTCCAGGCTTCCAGCAAGACTGATCCATGCATATAACTTTAAGTTCAGACTCTCTCAGCATGTCCTGTTGCTTGTTTCCCTTTTCCTTAACAACTTCAGCACATTTTTTCTCTTGCTAACTTAGTACTTATTTTCAAATTTTAATAGCAGTTCTTTTTAATCACAAGTGAAGTTTTGAATTGCCTATGTTGCACTCCTCTAAAGAAGGGAACAAAATAATGTCTTTTCAAACAATGGGATTTATTTCCCAACTTGATGAAATTTTCTGAGTTTTCTTTGAAACTAAAATTGAGTTTTCTTTCACATCGGTGCAGATGCAGAACTCCCATGCAAACTCTTCAGGAGTTTTCAACCTCCTCTTTTGTTGTTGTTGTTTGTCTGTTTTTGAGGAAACATACGAAAGAGGGAAACTTCATTCTGACAGAAATCACTGGTAATGAAGAGTACAATTGGCTTCAAATGAAACAAATGTTACTACATTACTTTGGATCTTACCAGCTTGATTTACCTAAAAAGCCTCAAGCTTCCACATGATGAGGTGATCAATACCAGGCAGTTTACAAAGTTAGTATTTTAAATACACACATTTTTTAAGGTGTTCAGATTTATTCTCTAAAGTTATCAGATCTGATGTCTTTAATCAGTCTCACGCAGTCATTTACAATGAGGATGAGATAGAGATACCCATAATTGTACCTCCGTATAGGCTTTTGATATCCTTAAACTACCAGAGCCATAAATTTGCAGTTTACAAATTCACACCTCAGCCACTGCACAGGAGAGATATTCCTGGCAGAGACATACGGATATTCCTGCCTCCCTTCCAAACAGCCACATTGTTCAGGAGTTAAACAATTGCTGCTGAGATATTTTTCCCCTCCACCTCTCATGACTACTTCCATTTTTATTTCACTTGTTTTTCCTTCTTAGGTCTAATTTAAAAAAACAACACAGGGGTGTGAGAAATAATAAGAGAAAAAGTCAGCTTCTTTAGCAGCACGACTGCTCTTCTATGACTCCTGGAACAGAACATGTATTAAGTGCAGAATCCTTTTTTCTTCTTGGCAACTCATTTTTCCAGGCTCAAAATAGGCTCATCTTGTAAACACTGCTTTGTTTGGGCACTAATAATAGCAGCTAAAACTTCTCTTTGTGACACTAACAGCTACAAAGATTAATGGCAACACAAAATACTGTTGTGAAACCAAAAACAGATCTTTTAGCAGATCTTGATTGACTTTGTTTTGATCTCACTGACTCTGCTGGGCTTAAAACTATTTTCTAAAAAATAGATTGATGACTTTTCAGGAGTAACCCACACCCCAGCTCTTTCTTCTCTTTGTCTGAGAGCTTGTTCACAGGAATTTAAGGGGAACTCAGTTATTACACGCCTGTCACGAATGTTATTTATAAACACAGCCTTGTCACGTTCCTTTGCTTGCTTTTCTGGGCTCTTCTAGTGATCGCATTGCCCTTGTGAAACATTCTAAGGGCTACCTGCAGGCTGGGCCATTTCTAATTATACAGGTACCACATCACAAGTAATACTTGCTAATTGCTTCTCACATTTTTAGAGTGTTCATTTCAGGCACCGAAAAGCTGCAACTGAAAAACCAAGATCAGAAAACATGCCAAGGATCACGTCATCTTCCCAGGCACTGGTCTGAACCCTCAGCAGGAGGGGAAACAACAGCCCTGAGCAAAGACCCGAAGAAATAAAGGAGATGTTTTTGACTGACTTTGATGGGCTGCAGCAAGCTGTGAGCCAAGATGCGTCTCACTGCTTTCACCACCAAATGGTTCCATTTCCTTGGTTTTGCTACACAGTGCAGAGTAAAGCCTGCCCCCCAAATCCATGCACAATGCTCCGTGCAGCTTCCTTTACCAGCAGCAGCGAATCCAGAAGGCAGCGCTTGGTGAGCGCTCGGCGGGGTAGAAGGCTGTTATGTGTAGAAAGAAAACAGCCTACTGTGGAAAGGTTATAACAGCTCTGATTCACCGCAGTAGCAGCAGAGTCCTGTACAGTTGCAACACAAAAGGAAAATATAAATCTGGCTATTTTGAAATAGGGCTGCAGCAATGCCAACAAACTGTTTGAGACTGATCCCTTTTGGTACGGGAAGAAGCTTGCCTTCCAACACATTCAATTCCGAGCGAGTCACATCCGTCACAGTAAGAGCTTCGTGAACCTGCTCTCCTTTTGGCTACATTCTGTTACACTAATTCATATTTATATAGTTCCTGCAAACGTAACTAACAAATCATGTAACAGCTCTGTGCTTCGGTAGGTAGCGTGTAAGCAACAGTTCATCTTGAGATCTGTTGCTCAGTGAACTCATTTCTCTCGTCCATTACATGCATCATGATACATACTGTAAGACATTTATCTCAATGGGAGAGATGAGATTTTTTTCATAAGAAATGACAGAACAGATTCTTTAAAACATTTCCTTCAAATCAGAACTGACTATTTGATAGACAATGTCCTTGCATGCTTGTTTTTGGAAAGGTAACAAAGAAAGTTACTGAAATCCTACACTTCCAATATCATTACTAATTTTCTCTTAAAAATAAATATATATATATGAATTTACCTTATTTTAACATTTTGCTGTACTGAAAAAGCTCTTAACTTTTTTTTTTTTTTTTTTTTTAAAGCTGGAAAAAAAAGGATGTACTTGCTGGGAAGCATGTTAACAAACAACCTGCGAACCATCTTTGATGATATTGTTTTACTTACAGAGGAATTCACAGTTCTTATCAATGGAACTGATCCAATGCTCATGAAACTGAAGAGAAATAAAATTCCGTGGGCTCTGAATAGGGATCTCTATGGCCAGGATGTGCTAGAGTGGTGTGAACAGATTTGATGTGAGAGTCAGGAAAGAGAGCAACAGGAAGGAGACAGGAAAGATGGGAAGTTCAGTTTTGAAGTTACAGGATTTGGCAGGAGAATAAAATATCATAGAGGAGACACAGAGGTTCACAGGTTGGACTTCATCTTGGAAAAGAGACACGGAAAAAGAACATCTGCTCAGAAAAAGTCCAAGAGTAAAATTATTTCTTTATCCTGGCTTCTATAGTACTACGCGCTTGTAGATGCTCACAAACCCTGTCCTGAGACAAGCATAGACATATCATGCTGAAAATAAGCAAGAATTGCAGCAGAGCTACTTCTGTTCATCATCCAGATGTGCCCTGCAGTGTGCTATTCAGATCATTACCTAAAGGATTTCAAGCTGCTTTCTCTGAGCAAACCAGCTGGTCAGCGCCCTTCAGCTCATCGTAATTTAAATATTAGTTGCCTTCTCCTGGAGGAATGCAAATGAAACAAAAACACTGTAATTTTTAGCTCTTGATTTAGTTCACTGAAAGCAGCTTCAAAAGGACACAGCTCAGATCTTCATAATTTTCCCACAACTTCAACAGTGGAGGTGATGGACAGTAAGCTTTCTGCAAAGGAAGGAAATCTCATAACTGAATTATTTTAATGCCTTGTTAAGATCTATACAGTTTACTTTGCCTCTCCCCTATAAGAGATGGCTGACTGATAGATATCAGACAGCTTGAAAAGTTAGGTATCAGAAATACAGGGTTAAAAAGAAAAGTATTCATGCACTGAAAAGGGAAAGGTGGGGGAGTTATTCACTGGCACTTCCTTTCCTTGAATGTCAGCAAGTAGGGTCAAAATTTGCATGTGTGACATTGAAAACTTCTTGCATTTAAACGCCTTCTTCTAAGCTCCCCAAAGATATTCTTTTTGCTTAATGTATTTACTTATAATGACATCTGAGTCACTCCATGGCTCCTGAAGATACTAAAGACCAAATTCTGTGGTCTAGTTTATATAAAGTAAGAAAGCATGTTAAACAAGAAGAATTCTTAGATGTCTTCAACAGCAATCAAACTCTGTTTAAATTGAAACAACCAGGATATTTAGTGAGATTTCAAAGTAAGTGAAGCTAATCTGCATTGCTTTGAGAAACCTACCTTCAGGCAACAATGCCTGACTGATAAAGTATGCATTTATTTGGCCTGCCACACTTACTAATAACAAGGAAAACTCAGATTCTTTGTTACTCAGATCACAGAAGTTACTCAGGACTTAGGTCAGCAAAGCTTCTCCAAAACATGATTTTGTCAACAGCATTTCAAGGTTCCATTAATAAATAGAAAATGGCTTTAAAATACCAATTTCTGAACTGTTCCAGCAAGCAGATTATGGTTGTGTGATTGCTGGCTAGACAATAAAGCAAGACAGGACATATGCTTCTGATTTAGGTGATTTTCCCTCTCCCTTGGTAAGGGCTAACGATTTTTGCTATTAAAGCTTTACATACCTTTTAATTTTCTGTCATATGCTCAGTTTTTCCCTTGATTTGTATCAATTGCCTTCACTTTTACAGCGCTGACTTTCTTAACTATGCCTGTAGATTATAGCTACGTGTTCTCAAGTGTGAGAACACCACTTCCCACATAGCAGAATGGGATCACCATGAACTCTGCTTCTATGCTTTCAAATCAGAGAAACAGAGGGAATTGTGTTCCCACCAGATTTACCAATTAGCTAAAGCTAATAATTCTGAAGAAAGCAGAAACAGAAAGTTGTCAAGCAAAAAATAACCCATCTAGGTTTAAAACTTTCATCCTGATCATTTTTCAACTGGCCTGATATCTTCTGGCACCTGTGTAACAACAGAGTAACTCCTCACCATTGTTAAACAGCAGTCAGTTGTAGAGAAATTATCTTTTCAGAGAATCAACTGGACTGTAGGATCAAAGCTGTATAAAGGTGTGTTCAGTGCATGGTTATCTGGAGGTTACCATCTGAGTTTATCTACATGAACAGTAATGGAATGAGAAGCTGCTTTTGGATGCCATCTTGGGATAGATAAATCCAAGAGCTTCCACTTCGTTAAATACAGAAAGTGAAAGAAGGAAAAAAGTAAACATGTACAAGTAACAACTGTAACTTGTTTGTCAAACACAGCTGTGTTTGCTGTGGTTTGTTGAACAGAAATGAAAGTACTATCTACCTGCATGGAAAAATTACTTTGCTAAGGTACAGTTCTTTTCAAGAGATATTGGCAGGCAAAATGTTTGAGTAAAACTGAATTTTGAGCACCCACAGAAAATGTCATGAGAGCAAATTATATTAAGTGTCTGCTTGCTGACATACTTGAGGATGCAAGGCAGACCTGTAGACTCACACTGCTCTGACATGGGTCAACCACAAAAAGTTGACAGATTGTCCCTACTTTTCACACACAGAACTAGCATAAGAGAGTGATAACTACTGAAAGACATCAATATGTCTTATACTCCTTATAGCAGAATAATAATTTGCATATATGATTATTTTCACAGTTCTTACTTGGGCTTTAGATAGAGTAACAAGCAATGTTCTGAAGATGAGCACACACATCTGTGGCATAAAATTTGCTGAATATATTCCCAGAAAATTATGATCACACATTTCTTCTTTCATATGGAACAGCATAGCTCTATAGCAGAATTGAGCCTCATTTCATAGCAATCTCCATTTCTATCTCATTTATCCATATCTCAAAGCAATACTTTCAATAATATTAATTTCATATGACACAGATAAAAGCGTATTACCTTCGCTATATCCTCTTGAAATGCCACCAAGTTCAAGTACGATATATTGACCAGGTCTGGTCCATAGACAACAGTTATCATTCGATTTTCCAGTCGACTTCCAACATTCCCAGCATCCAACAGCTCACGCAGCTTTGGATCCTGCAAGTAACCATATCACAAAATATTTAAGTTCTTCTGCAAATACTTCAGTTTTGAAAATTTGTCTTATTTCAATCACTTTAAATGACTTCAAACTAGATAATGGTCTATTAATTTTTCATTAAAAATCATAGTGCTATTAACACACAGTATTGCAAAATCACTACTGTAAACCTTTCAAAGCTTCTGAGGTCCGTATTAGCACAGTACAGATGAGAAACTGTCCAGTTAATAGCTGCAGCCTCCTATTGTCAGTATTGAGTCTCCTCAAGAAAGGAGAACTTAGCTTTACATAGCAAATTAAAAAGACTACCTGGAATTGACTACCTTAACTATAAAAAATGAGTAATATAAGCTTGGTGATGCTCTTCTTCTTCAAGTCCAAAAGGCTTTGCATTATTTATATTATGACATCTATCTCACTACATAACATTTACATGAAGGAAAGATATATATTCACTATTTTACTAGCTAAGAATAGCCTGAACTTCAACTTCATTGGTAGCTTAAGCATGTGAGAAACAACTTCAGGTTATTTTGTAGTTTACAGGTTTCTATCAGATTAGGCTGTAGCATTTACAAGAAATGCACTCACAAGACATGAAAACTGCCTGGTGCTTGACGACCTCAAGATAAAGTCTATAAAAGCAAAGGTAGATGAAAAACAGCCTTGCATGACTGAATCCAACCCTTTAATAGGGTCACTATAATTTGAAAGCTCAGATTTGCTATCAAGCAAGATTTTTCAGTCTGATATAAATATTTTAAATGGCCAGCAAATTAGATCATCACAGAATTACACTCAATTTCTTCACTAATCCAGAAAAAGATTCTGTGTAGAGATTTCAAAACTTCACAAATCCATAATGCACACTGCAATTCATTCTCTCATGAACCTTTTCCTACCACTGTCTGCATATACATTTGTCATTTACAGTACTTCTTCATGTTGAATAACTTCTGAAAAACAATCAAAACTTCAACTAATACGAATTACATTTTATATTTAGAAAACAAAGATATCAAGGGCCATTTCACATGGATCTCACATGAAACTGTACATCCACGAGACCTCAGCTGAAAAGACAACAGAGTTATGCATTCATTCACCAAGTATTTCACAGGGTTTGGGAGAACATTTTGAAGTATGGTATACTTTAATAGGGAGGAAGCTTCAAGACTGTCTATCATAGAATGCTGAGCCTCATTAAATACTAGGTATAATGGCAAGTGTTGCTGGAAAACAGAATAATCTTATCTGAGAGTTTAAAGGAGGAATATGTCTGTGCTCTGAGGCAAAGAAGATTTCATGAATAAACAAATTAATGATGTGTTTTTACATAACAGAAAGAGGGATATAAAAGTAGTAGTTGTGTTCCAGCGATGTGGATTTGAAGAAAGAAATTGTGTTAATAAGGATCTAGGAGAAAAGCTAGAGAAATGCCCTGAAGATACTAAGTTAGTGATGGAGTACTATTGGATGGGTTACTTTCTATTTTATTTACAGTCTGGATGTTATAAAGCACTGTTTAATTTCTTTGGGAGATGAGAGTTCATCTTCCTTTTAATTCCTATTTTTTCTAACCCAAAATGAAACTGGTATTTGCTTCTACTAAACTGGTTGGCTGGGAAGAAAATCATTCTTTATGATCTCAGAAAGGACTGCCTGTTTTTATTCTCTTTCACATACTTGTCATTCCTTTCTTCCTTTCTCTGGCTGAAGCTATCACTCACAGTATCACTGCTGGTGATGAACTGCAATCACATCAACAAATAAGAAAGAAGGTAACCTTTTCCCTTCATATTTATAGTCAAATATAAGATCTCTGATGGATCATCCTCTAGTTTGTCTAAAACACACATTAGTCATGCATCACAGAACAAAATGGAACCATGTTTTAAATTGGATGATTTATTTTTCAAAGCAAAAGTATTACACTGCCCCCCCCCCCCCCCCCCCCAAAAAAAAAAAAAAAGAAAAAAAAGATGATTTGGAGCTGGCTCAGTAAGGGCTTTAGAAGTGCACAGCAAGTAGCCAACCAGGCAGTATCAGTATGAAGCTGGTCTTCCAAATCACAAAACTTTTCTCCAGGTTTTAAAGACAAGAAATAAGACAGATCATTCTCTTTGGGTTGGCTTGTTAGGATGGATATTTTTCTATTCTGTTTATGACTTCTCTAACAAAATTTGAAACACACGATCCCTTCTAGCAACACGTTATCTGGCTGCCATGTAGCACCTATTAATAAAGGGCATCCACTGTGTATCCTGAGGCACTTCAGCATAATCTGCAATGTACTCCATTGCACAGACTTAAAATAGATTATTGCCTATCTATAGCTATGGTTTCAGTGAAAGGAGATCATCTCGATACTAACAGAATTCAGGTCCTTTCTCACCACTGCCATGGGTGTATTTGCCACAACAAAGGAGCTCTGCTCCTTTATTACCACACATAGCTACAAATGCTGCTGAGCAGATCAGCAAAATATCCTTTGCCAACATCTTGAAGACGATCCAAGCTCTACAAACCAAAGATTGTTTAAAATGTCAGCAGGTTTTCCCGTGGAGATGAAGATCCTGTGCTGATAGGAAAGCATATGGGGGGGAAAAAAAAACAACCACCAAGCAAAAAAACAAGTCAAATAGTATGACCAAATTCAGCTTCTTTTATGTAAATTGGATTATTTTGATAATTCCATTTTGAGGAATGAGACTGAAAGTCTGCTGCTGTTTGCAGCTGCATTTAATATACTGGCTCATGAGCAGGCAGACTGGCTTTGAGAGTAAGCTCTTTGCTAGACTGGGGCCTCATTATGAGCATATCAATCTGTTAGGGAGACATTCAGAAGAGTGATTTCTATTAAATATTGATTGTAGTCATTTTTTAAACATCTAAGTTACAGAAGCTCTGTCATTTTAGGGAACATGACCATGGGATGCTCAATAAGCAGCAGGCTATTGATGAACCCCATTTAAGTCACATCACTTCCTTTTGCAACACAATGATTTGACGATTTCTGACAAAGAAACATCTTACACCTCTTTTAATGAAAAGGTTTGGGTGTTAACTTGCATCTTCTCTTCCACTGAGATCCAGCAGGAACTCCAGCTCAAGGAGCAGAGCTGCCTGAAGACTGGCCCTGAAGCCAGGCCAGGAAAGCCAGTATTTATGCCATGACCACTCTGCAGGTAAAGGGTTGACAGATTCTCAGGGGAAGATGGGAAGCGTAAGCAGCTGAGTACAGAGGAGGTGACAACAATGGCACAAACAGCATTAGAATCCACTAAAGATCAGATGGCCTACCTCAAAATGAGGCAAGAGGTGGGCAGATGACTCTCAGCTCCTTAGGAAAAAAAAAAACCAAACCCTCCCTATTTGTTTCTGCAGTCTTCACAAAACTATCCAGGGAAAACATACCATAAATCAATCCAAAACAAAAACAGAAAGTGGAAGACAAAGAAAGCCAGGAACATGAAAAAAGGGATTATGGACTTTCTACCACATTCATGAGCAACACTGAATAAAGACGATTTGTTAAAAGCCAGGATCCTGTGTACAGACAGATAAAAACAGATTTCAATCAGACTTCCAAACTTTCTCCTGCTGTATTTTCTTCCACTGGAAATCATAAAAATAATGTAAACCTAAGGAGTTTAATGACACTGACACTTTAATTGCTATCTCTGCAAAGACTGCGCTCAGCTGTGGCTGGAGTTATGCGAATGTAGCTCAGTGCTGAAATTCCAATTACTGCACGCTCTCCTCTGCGCATACAGCAAGTGCTGCACATCTTTTAATACGATCATCGTCTCTTTCAACTTGTTTCTGAAAACTTGCTACACACCATCTGTCTGACAGGATGTGCTGCTTTTTTAAAAACACACTGCCATACATACATGCAAAACGCTGCCGTGAGATTTTACAGATTAGCCCTTGCAACCAATTAACGACACATTTCACAACATTTCATTTGATGCAGAGAATCACGACACAAGCAGCAGCCTGGGAGCTCTCCTGCTGCTGCGGGTCACCTCATGCTGCATGAAGTATTTGGATATCAGATAAAAAATCACTTCTCACGAAAAGTGACCCAGCTTCCTCCCAACAACCTGGGTCCGCTATCCAACTCTCCCTTAGTCTCTCCAAGCCAAAAGCATTCAGGATTCACTTTGTGCAGCTCTCAAGTACTGACTTGAACCCATCCAAGGACTCACCTTGGATGCAGTGCAACCTCTCGTGTTCCTAATGCTTCACTGAGCAATGGCAGTGTTCCTGGGAGCAGCTGCCTGTCCTCAGGAGGACGTTAAGCATGAGCAGAGCCTGTCAGACTCTAAAGACTTCCCTCAGGGCCTAACAGTGATGGATGACATGATGGCCAACTGGAAGAGCATCAGAAGACTCAGCCAGAACATTTAAGTTCCTGAAAGTGATGCAACTCAAGTGCTGCAAGATAATTTTTTTTGGTGTTTGAAGACATTGATTTAAAATGCAAATGATCTAAATGAGTGATTAGAGAAAATACCACAGCCTGAGTTGTACAGCAGTAACAACAGTGTATACAGTCCTATTTCTCACTTACAAGTGCTGTCCTGATACTACATTTTGTGTGGCAGGCATAGACCAGGACTCCTTTGTCTAGACTGCATATAGATGAAATTACACAACCATGCATTGTGTACAACAGTCCTGTGCATGTAACATGTCATATCTTCCCTACTCCCAAACAGCTGCCAATCAAAATCGTTTTCTTCTCCATCTCATGCAGTAAAACATTACCTTTAAGATGTCAGTTATAAGGGAGTTCTACTGAAGCAATAGGTATACAAGGGATCCCAGAGCCTCCAAAAAACAGATGGCTAAAAAAAACCACCCAGCAAACCCTATGTACAAACTTTGTGTAAATCAGCTATTTCCAACATTTCCGTCATTCCGACTTGTGATTTCCAAACGTTCTCTGTTTCTGGCACTAAAAATCTGGGAACATTCTAAGTTCAAA